ATAATCTTTAATCTTACATTGGGACACACGCACACTCACACACACACACCTAACAAACTAAAGTTTCATAAAGCACTGCTTAACTTTGCTGTACAAGGAAATCTTTATAAGATTCCTGAAAGCAAACAAAAAACACAAAAGAGGGCCAGCCCCATGGTGCACTCGGGAGAGTGCGGTGCTTGGGAGCACAGTGGTGCTCCCGCCATGGATTCGGATCCTATATAGGGATGGCCGGGTTTGGATCCTATATAGGGATGGCCGGTGTGCTTACTGGCTGAGTGTGGTGCGGACAACACCAAGCCAAGGGTTGTGATCCCCTTACCGGTCACGAAAAAGACAAAAAAAACCCCACAAAACAAACATGAAACATGTAAACATGAAACATGTAGAAACGAGGTACTTGAGAAAATGTTTTCCGTCTATAGGTATCATAAGAAGTCAAAGCTGGTTAAATTATCACAAATTCTTAGGTCATCCCAATTGTTAACAAAGCTTCTTTTGAGATGATCCAATTCATCTCTGCAATTTTTCTGCATTTTTGGTAGACATTTCAAGCTTTGAATATCTGAACTTGTAAAATTGAAACTGGTAAAAGGCCACAAAAAAAAAGATTACTTTGTGTAATGTTGAATAAGCTAATTATCCTGATTTGATCACCACATATTGTACACAGGTATTGATATTCATAATATATATATATATATGTATTCACCATATATGTACAATCATGTTTCAATATATAAAAAAAATAAAAATTGAAATATAACTTGCTGATATCAGGGTTAAAATATTTCATTATGCTGACTGCTAAGTTTTTGGTTTCACCTAACTGAATCTTTGGTTTTTCTCAGCAGTGCAATTGATGGAACGTAATACCTTAGCATCACAAATCATTAGTAGCGAAATCTTAGTCCCTTTATAAAGCCCCTTAAATCTCAATTTTCTCATTTTTAAAATGAGAAAATAGTGACTAGCAAGTAGTAGACACTCATTAAATGCTGGTAAATATTGTGATTGTTGTTTTTCAATTTCAGCTGAACTCTAATGAGCCTCTCTGGTGATCTGTATAGCTCATAAGACCACCTTCGAGGAAAACAATGATATATTCAATGTGGTGTCTAGCTCCTAGCTTTCTTCTGAATTTCTGTCTTTCCAAAAAAAAATATATAAAATAAAATAGCAATAACTACAATAGTACCTGTAATTGCCTAGTTTACTACTTCTCTGCTATTGCTGGAAAGTACTAGAAATTTACAGTGATTTAGATTATGTGGCAAATGGACTTTGCAAATTATATTTTAGAGAATCTATGCACATTCTGAAAATAAGTCAAAGAATGATTTTCAAACAGATATACAAAATAATGTCTTCATATTGTCTAATCTTAAAAGAGAGTGAAAGATTCCAGGAGATATTTATTCTACTACTCCTGAGGTGATGAACCACATGTGGAAGCGACGAAGGTGAAGAAGAAAACAAGAAAACAAGAGTGAGAATAGGGAAGGCAGCGCCTAAAAAGCCTTTTTTTTCTCACCAAAGTCTGTAAACGGATCATGCAGCCCACATTCTGAGATAGGTTATTGAGACAAATAATTAGTAGGCATTCCTTTCCAAATTTTAACAATAAATTTATTAGGACATGTGGAAGTCAGATTTAGAAGAATTGGAACCAGAACCTATGTAACTTACTTGGTATGGTGGTTAAGGAAATATTAGTTTTTCACAAATGCAATATAGTCCACACACTTGTTAGTTCATCCTGTAATGAAAAGCCAACATCACTATGATGGGGTGAAGCAGGGAAAAGAAAGAGTTCTCAGGTGTTCCTGTTTGTTGCTAACTGGTCTCAGGTGCATCCTGCAGAAGGCACTGGATTAAGGTAAAATACAAATTTTAGCATATCACGTTAGAGTCCTTACGAACACATGCCACGTATTTTTACATTTTGGGAGCAACATTTGAATGTCCTTGCTATTGTTCTGAAATGAATTTCCTTATTTATGGATGACTCATTTAACACATGGGTCTTTTGAAAAATGACTTCAGTTGTTGTATCTGACTTATATTGACAACATAAGATTCTTACACGGGTTGGTCTCTCTACTCCTACCCCCTGCCTTACTTACTTACTTACTCACTCACTTACTTACTTACTTACTTACTTACTTACTTACCCACTTACTTACTTTTACTTACTTACTTACCCACTTACTTACTTTTACTTACTTCTTACTTACTTACTTACTTACTTACTTACTCATTTATTTTCCTTCTTAAGAGGCATATCACTAAGTTAAAGACTGAAAGAAATCACAGAATACAACTCTGTCATCCCAAACAATGCCGTCATATCATCTCTTAATTCATGTGTGGGACATAAGTATACATGGCAGGTATATCATCTTTTATCATCCTGACTTTTTCACCTCCACTGGCCAATTTTTGGTAGGGAAGAAGAATTCGAAGAATTTAATGGGAAGTGTAACTTCTTAAGTTGTAACACAAATACACACACGTGCACACACACACACTGAAACACACATATCTACTGTGGTGGTAATATGTATCTATCATTCTTGTAACTCTGAACATATTAATGTTAAATAAATGTCACATTTAAATTGTATTTATTCTTTAGATTGGCAGATTCTAGCCCCATATGCTTTTTTATTTCTTTTCACTACTGCATATTAGGATGAGCTGTTCTAATATACAAAACTGACATCTCATTCTTTGTGCATTCAAAAACAAAAATCACATTTTTGATGTGAAAAGAGGTAAAGATTTGACAAAGTATTAACTTGTCATACATTTAGTTTCTCTTCAAATATCCTCAGTGAACTCACTCTTAAAGTACTATACATCCCTCCCAAGTATTTGGATTAAATAGATTTCTGCTCTGTGAGATCAGTTGAGATGGAGATGGGACTGATTCTGTGCTTGCTTAAATGGATTTTTAAATCAAATACATGAGGTTGGAGAAGTCTACCAATGGATATAGTACAAGACTGGATAATATCTTTGAAAAATTCCAGATCTCTTTCAATATTATATATTTTTTCATTTAATTTTTATTTTTGAAATTTAGTTATGAACATTTTAAAACATACACAAAAGTAGATGATATAGCATAATTGGCTTATATGTTTTATACCAAACCAAAGACTTTTTATTGCTGTATTTCATTTCTTTTTAGTGAAATGCAATTCAATTTATTTAGAGGGAACTAACTTTTGAAACACTTGAAAAGCTTTTGGAGAGCAAATAATTATCTTAAAGAATTTTATTTGAAAGCAGAGTATCAGTATTTCCCTAATATGTGGAGTTAATTTTCTTTTAAAATAAATGTGAAATCACTGAAGAGATTTTTGAAATTGATACAATGCATTTCACTGGGAAAATTTGGGTCTATTTAAGTCTTTGGAATCTGAATCATTAAAATATTTAAAATGTTTGGGTAGGAATTTAAAATTTTCAAATCAGGAACATTCAAGATTGTTTTAAAAATATTTTTTCAAATCTAACACAAAAACAGACATTATTTCAATTTAATATAGAATTTTGTATTTAAATCACTAATGAGGTAAAATTTAAGAACATACAAATATAAAATGGAAGCAGTGACAATATTATAATATTCAATCATTTAATCTAATATTTTTTCAATTATCATTAACAGGCATTAATCACTGAGATCCCCAATTTAAAAAAGAAAATAAAATACAGAAAACCATAAAATATCAACTGTGTAATGGAATGTACAACTGATTGATTACAAAACATGCTAATTTGATTCTCTATGCTGTAGTATGTCAATAATGCACATATTATGTATATGAGGGCACTTCAAAAGTTCATGGAAAAAAATCAGATATATTTTAATTCTATTTTTCCTTGAAGTTTTTGAGAAACCCTTGTGGACATGCATCATAGATTGGTAGCATGAACCATTTGGGGAGCTTTCCTAGGGATATTAGTGTGGTAAACTGGGAACTGGAAAATTCTTTAAGAACTCTAACACAGTTTTGAAAGAAATGAAGAAAACTCATGGAGAAAGGAATTCACTAAAAATCAGAGTTGTTTATGCAATGAAAAACACCTATAATGATGGAAAATTATGTTGATTTATGATAGAGCAGTTTGAGAAGGATTTTTAAAATGATGTATACATTTCTTTTTATTTTTTACTAAAGAAAGTGATAGGGAAATAAAACTTCGGATTATTGGATGAAAATTAACGGTAAAAAAACTCAATTTTAATTCTGATCACCCAAGTAGGCCAAATTAAGGAATGTGCTTGAGAAAAACATGTCAAGATTTTTCTTCTCACCTAGGTTCCCTGGCCTCAAATTCTTTAGAGAGATCTGAGGATGTTTATTTCTGCTTTGTTCTTTCTTGCTTACTCTCTAACTTGGCCTCTAAGAATGGAAGGAGTCAATACTGTCTATTTGGGCTGTTATGGTGAATAGGGCCAAGTGGCTCCCTGTGAGTACAGATGAAGTATATATTATCAAAGGGAAAAACTTGTAACTACTATGAACTTAAGATAAAAAACATTCACAAGCTTGACATTACAGACACTTAAGCCGATACCTAAGAACATGTTCCACTGCTCCAAGCCCTCCCCCGACATGCCTGATTTCCTAATGTTTACCAGTCCTGTGGAAGCAATTTTTGTGGTAATTAACACTTTGTAGTAAATCTTACTTTCTTACTCTTTTTTTTTTGAGGTGACTAAAAAACAATCTCAATTTGTGTTCCTATATACATATGGATTTTTGAGCATAATTAAACAGTATTCTGTACTCCAAAGAACATAACAACATCTACTATACTCTAAGTTGTAAATCCTAGATTGTAAACATCAGGCTATTAATATTTTTGTATGTTAACACACTAAAATTTTCTTTGATAAAAATGTTTCTTAGATATCAGCATATTTATATACACATATATATCTCTATTTCCGTCTTAGTTATTTCATTTCTCCTCTTTTTCAGGTAATGCTTAGAGGATTCTGCAGCAATTCTTGGTATTGGACATATTCAAAATCTCTTCAACTTTTACTCTCCTGGTCCACTGCCTTTCAGCTTTAACTCATTTGTTATCCCGTCAAACATTTTACATGATTTGCAATGGTTACATGAACTTTTGGGAAGTGGTATTTGCACCATCTCGTACTTCATTCACTATGGTACTTTAGAAAAAGAAATTGGAAAAAGCTTACAAAGCATTATTTTTAAAGATGAATCTTATTGTGAAGCTTCGGCGAAGTTTTCGAACACTGATTGTCCTCTTAGCTACCTTTTGCTTGGTGAGCATTGTCATTTCTGCCTATTTCCTTTACTCTGGCTACAAACAGGAAATGACACTTATTGAAACTACTGCAGAAGCAGAATGTGCTGACATCAAAATTCTACCATATCGGTCGATGGAGTTGAAAACAGTCAAGCTTATTGATATATCCAAAACCGACCCTACTGTCCTCCTCTTTGTGGAGAGCCAATACTCTCAACTCGGTCAAGATATCATAGCTATCTTGGAGTCCAGCCGATTTCAGTACCACATGGTCATTGCCCCTGGCAAGGGAGACATACCTCCTCTTACAGATAATGGCAAAGGGAAATATACTTTAGTTATTTATGAAAATATTCTGAAGTATGTCAGCATGGACTCATGGAATCGAGAGCTTTTAGAAAAATACTGTGTGGAATACAGTGTTAGTATAATTGGTTTTCATAAAGCCAATGAGAACAGCTCACCAAGTACACAGTTAAAAGGCTTTCCATTAAACCTTTTCAATAATCTAGCTCTAAAGGACTGTTTTGTCAACCCTCAGTCTCCTTTGCTGCATATTACCAAAGCCCCCAAGGTTGAGAAAGGCCCTCTTCCTGGGGAAGACTGGACTATTTTCCAATATAATCATTCAACCTACCAGCCTGTGCTTTTAACTGAATTACAGACAGAAAAATCCCCTTCATCCTTGTCCAGCAAAACACTCTATGCGACAGTGATCCAGGATCTGGGGCTTCACGATGGAATTCAGCGAGTTCTTTTTGGCAACAACTTGAACTTTTGGCTGCACAAGCTCATCTTCATAGATGCCATTTCCTTCTTGTCAGGGAAGAGGCTGACATTGTCCTTGCACAGGTACATCCTTGTAGACATTGATGATATATTTGTCGGAAAGGAGGGAACGAGGATGAATGTCAAAGATGTGAAGGTAAGAAAATTTGTAAATAACATCATGATTTGTACTTCACTAACTGTGGTATTGAGAAAATATAATTTTGAATATTTTAGATTCCTACTCACTAAAATTTTAAGCTGCAGTAGGTTTGAAATAAAATAGAGATTGAACAAAAAAGTCTTTAAGCTTTAACCATGACACACACATACACACACGCATGTGTGCACACACACACGCGCACGCACACACACACACACCCCTGAACCTTCAGAAGGGGACAGAGCTAAAATATCCTAAAGAACAATTGAACTCAATACCCTTGCTTCTGCTTAAATCTTGACCATCCCAGCAAGAATCCTTCAAACAGCCTCCCTTATTCTAACATATGTTGCAACTTAGAGCAGTGAGACTCATATGGTCATAGAATTCTATTTCTGGACTGATCGTTGTGTCTAACTTGGATTTGACAATGGTGGTTGAAATATAAGATGGAGAAGCTGTCTAAGACCTTTCTATGACTTCAAGCAAACATAGTATTTGCTCGTACCAAATATTCATACACTTGTAAACATAGATATTAGCAAAAAACTTTTATAGGAAAAGTGGTATTGGACTTGGCCTAAAGAGGCTTCCATTATTATACCTATTATTAATATATTATATTTTGGGTAACACAGCAGTGTCACTGGTAGCACTTCTAGGGTATGATAAATTGGCTGAATAACAGATTCATCTCTGCTTGTTATCAGGTAAAGAAAAAGCCAAATATGTTATACTAGATTAGGTAGGTAATTCTGAGAATAATTATTTTTTTCTTAAATCTCAATTCAACATTCTCACATGATCTTTCACTTGTACCTATCTTGTCCTACATATCACTAAATTGATTCTGTGCATGAATAATTTTAGCAAACATAAAAATAATACAACACAACTTAGAATTATAAAAGAACCAAAGGTTATTGAGCTCTTGTCATCCTTTTGTGATCTGTTATTAAGCTTTATACCCTCCAAAGATGAAATCTGGATTCTACTTCAAAACAACAGTTTATTTTTCGTGTCCTAAGACCTTATGGCCACTATAATACAACATGATTAAAACAAGCAAAATAAGTTCACTTTTTAAAAATCTTCAAAGTACATGTGGACCAGTGAATTCAGTTTTTAATGAGCTACTGAATGAAGCACCACTTGACTGTGACCCAAATATTTCATTTGGGGACTGCTAAAAAGGAAATAAGTGATTTCAGTTGAGTTCTGTTAATATTTTTTTGCTTCTCCCCCGTACATTTTTGGTATTTATTATTTCTCTGAATTAATATAAATGCTAGTCTTATTTTGATTTTAAAATCATAAAGTTAAAAGGAGGCCATGTGTTCAAAAGATCCTCTGGGTAGTTGGTACCTTTCTTGAAGCCCTAAGATAGGGTTTCCTAATTTCAAGCTAAGAAACATCATGAGGTGAAAAGTTTTTTATAACTCTAAATGAAATTGACCAGCTCAAATTCAACTATTTAACTTATTCTTCATAGAAGAACAAATAGCTACTAACTACTTCTCATGCTATATTCAAAGGTCACTCACTGATGGCTTTGTAAGTGGAACAACCCCATTCAGAATAAAAGAATGTTGACACTTAACAAAGACTTGAGCAATGTCAAAAGTGGAGAGATAATCAGAAAGGTTGTGTGGGTGTACAAGTATATTTTGGAGTGTGTATATACATATGCAAATGTATAGAATTATATACTATGTATTAAATAATACATATTTGTTAATGTACACACATGTCAACTCAACGGTCACTGAAGAAAATACTCTTTACTACCTCTTGATTGTTGTTTCTGGTTCTCCCTCAAAACTGTTTTTTTTTTTTTTTGATTGACAAATAAAAAGGTATATATTTGTCATATACCACATGATGTTTTAGAATATGTATATACACTGTAGAATGTCTAGATCAAGCTAATTAACATATGCATTACCACCCATATTTTTTTTATGGTGAGAACACTTAAAATCTACTCTCAGCAATTTTCAAAACTGTAATTAATACATCCTATCATTTGCAACAACATGGATGGAACTTAAAGTCATGTTAAGTGAAGTCAGTCACAAAAAGGCAGTATCACGTGACATCACTCATATGTGGAATCTGGGGGGAAATGTGGTTCTCACAGAAGTAGAGAGTAGAATAATGTTACCTGAGGCTCGGGGGTGGGGGGGGTTGAGTGGGTGGAGGAGAAGTGGTTTGCTAATGAATACAAAACTATGACACCTATCCTACGTGAATCATTATGCAGTATGTGTATGTATAGAAACAACATACTGTACCCCACGAATACGTACAAATAAATACTAAAATATTTTGAATTAAACAGATATTTCAAAAAACATTTTCTTGTTTATTTGCTAAAAAAAGCAATACATTGTTATTAACTGTAGTTACCAGGTTCTACAACAAATCTCGAACTTATTTTTCCTATCTAACTGAAATTTTGTATCCTTTGACCATTATCTCCCCAACCCTCTCCTCCTCAGCCCCTGGTAACCACCATTCTACTCTCTGCTTATATGAGTTCAATTTTTTTAGATTTCATGCATAAGTGAAACCATGAAGTATTTGTCTTTCTGTTCTGGCTTATTTCACTTAATATAATGTCCACCAGGTTCATCCATGTTGTTGCAAATGACAGGATTTCATTATCTTTTAAGGCTGAATATTATTCCATTGTGTGTGTACAAGCATACTTCAAAGTCATAGAGATATAGAATTAGAAGATTATACAAATGCTTCCATCCCTTGTATACCACATTTTCTTTATCCATTCATCTGTTGATAGACACTTGATTCATATCTTACCTACTGTGTATAATGCTGCAATCAGCAAAGTAGTGCAAGTATCTCTTCAACATCCTGATTTGATTTCCTTTGGATGTATACCCAGGATTGCTGGATCATATGGAAGATCTATTTTTCATTTTTTGTAGAAACTTAAAACTGTTTTCCATAATGGCTGTACTAATTTACATTTCCACCAACAGTGTGCAAGCATTCCCCTTTGTCCACATCTTCTCCAACACTTTTAGTTTTTAGTTTGTTTTTCTTTTTTTTATAATATCCATTCTAACACATGTGAGGTGATAGCTCATTGTGCTTTTGATTTGCATTTTCCTGATGGTTAGTGATGCTGAGCATTTTTTCATATACCTTGGCAATTTATATGTTTTCTTTTGAGAAATGTCTATTCAGATCCTTGGCCATTTTTAATTGGGTTATTTGTTTTCTTGCTATTGAGTTGTTTGAGTTCTTTATATACTTGTATTTTGGATATTAACCCCTTATCAGATTTATGAGTTACAAATATTTTCTCTCATTCCATAGATTGTCTCTTTACTCTTTGTTTCTTTGGTTGTGTAGAAACTTTTTAGTTTGATACAATCTCTTTTTTTCCATTTTTACTTTTGTTGCCTGTGTATTTGAGGTCATATCCAAAAAACTGCCCAGGCCAAAGTCATGGAGGTTTTTCCCTATGTTTTCTTCCAGTAGTTTTACAGTTCCAGGCAGATCTCTACATTTAAGTCTTTAATCTATTTTGAGTTGAGTTTTGTATATGGCATGACACGAGGGTGTAACTATTCTTCTGCATGTGGATATTCATTTTTTCCAATATCATTTATTGGAGACTGTCCTTTCTTCCTTAACTGTTCTTAGAATCTTTATTAAAAAACAATTGATTGCAAATGCAGGGACTTATTTCTAGGCACTTTACTCTATACCATTGGTATACATGTCTCCTTTCATGCCAGTACCATACTGCTGTGATTATATAGCTTTGTAGTACATTTTAAAGTCAGATAGTGTGATGTCTTTGGCTTTGTTCTTTTTTGCTCAAGATTGCCTTAGCTATTTGGGGTCTCTTGTGCTTCCGCATAAGTTAGGATTGTTTTTTTGATTTCTCTGAAAAATGTCATTTGAATTTTGATAGGGATTGCATTGAATCTGTAGATTGCTTCAGGTAGTATGAACATTTTAATGATATTAATTCTTTCAATTAATGAAAATGGAATAAGTTTCTATTTATTCAAGTCTTCAAGTTTTTACATCAATAATTTGTAGTTTTTTTAATATAGCAGGTTTTTCACCTCCTTGGTTAAATTTTATTCCTAAGTGTTTTTTTGTTTTGTTTTGTTTTTGTAGCTATTGTAAATGGGATTACTTTTTCTTTCTTTGATTTATCTTCTGGATAGTTGTTTTTAGTGTACAGAGACATTATTTATTTTTGTATGTTAATTTTGAATCCTGCAACTTTACTGAATTCATTTATTAGTTCTAGCAATTTTTGGGTGAAGTCTTTAGGTTTTTCAGTATCATGTTGGCTTCCCTTATTGAATTATAGTAAAGACATTTTAATATGCAGTTCTCTGGCCAAAAATTAACATTCTTACATTCATCAGTGGTGCATATTTTGTCTGTAAATGGAATTTTCTTTTGGCTGGAGATATCAGAAGGCATACTTCAGTCTCTAAATATGATCACAATGGGAAGCTGCATTGAAACTATGTAGCTATGTATTATCTTTGTTAATTTGGTTGATCTGAGGCCTATTTTTAAATCATTACTAATTTTATTTGGGATCAAAGATAGAGAATTTGACCCCTTTCTTTAATTATGTGCTTTCATCTTTTAAAGTCTGCAATTTTATTTCCTTTTATAAATATATGTGTAAAGGTATAGTAGCATAGGAATATATTATCATTAGATAATGTAGCTAGGAATTTATTTATTTCTGTATATTCAGTGTTTCCTAATTTATTGAGAGTTGCATTACGGAGCATTACAGTATTAGTTTTGTTCAGATTGCTTCTACATGTGCACTTGAAAAAGGTACATTTTCAGTTTTGAGGTTCATATTAGTCTCTTATGATCCTTTGTTCAATAGCCCCTCCTTATCCACGGGAGATATAGTCCAAAACTCCTAGTGAATGATTGAAACTGTGGACAGTTTTGAACTATATACATACATATATATA